TTTAAGTATCTTTGCTATTATCTTTGCTGTATGTGCAATAAGGCTTATTGTGCGATGGTCACTGCATTTTGTAGCTTTTGTCTTTTTCTTTAAGGCAGTTATTGTAACTTCTGTGAAGTCCTTGGGCCATATATATATATATCATATATGGTGTTCATTAGTTTTGTCAGTGTTTTCAAACCACCTTCTCCCAGTAACTTGAGCACATCTCCAGGTACATCATCATCTCCTGTAGCCTTTCCCTTCCTCATTTCCTTGATAGCTTTTTCCACCTCACTTTGTAAAATATATGGNCATTTTACTCATCATCTCCTGTGTAACCCATGGTTTTCTTGCTATCTTCTCAACTTTACCAACCAAATCACTGATAGTATCTAACATGCATTCTTTTATATTGTTCCACTGCGCTTCAGCATTTCCGCGTTCGCCTTCAATTGCACCGAGTTTCTCTTCTAGGGTCTCTTGCACGCTTTGTCTTTGAGCATATAACTTCTCCAAATCCCATCTGGGTCTGCGCTTTCGAAATCTTATAATTTTCTTCAATCTGGTTTGGAACTTGGCAACCCTGTAAGTTGTGGTCAGAGTCAATGTCTGCCCCAGGAAGCATCTTCACATCCTTCACACTGTTTCTGAATCGATGTTTCACAAGGATGTAGTCCAGCTGATGCTTCCTCCAATCCCCAGGTGCCCTCCATGTGTAAATTCTTCTCTTTGGCTTCTTGAACCAAGTGTTCGTGACAATCAGTCCATTTCTTTCACAAAAGTAAATAAGCATTTGACCCCTGTGATTCTGTCTTCCTAGTCCATGTGATCCAACAATATTCTGATATGGTTCATCTCCAACAATGCTATTCCAGTCTCCCAATATGATGCTGTTTGTGTCACCTCTTCCATCTTCCTGAAGAATTTCTTCAGTTGTGTCATACACTTTTTCCACTTCGCTTACAGGATAATGGAGTGAAATTTCGATTTTTTGTTACAAATTTAAGGTTTTCAATTGACTCACCCTCGTATACAAGATGGTCCAAATATGACCAGGACTGATTTGTTTTTTAAACCCATAATTGCCAAACACTTACTTGCACTCAATGTACTCCCCTCTGGAGTCAACACATTTTTTCCAACGTTCTGGAAGTATCCTGATGCCCTTTTAAAAAAAGATTTGTGGTTGGCGGCATATCCACTCCCGAACATTCTGGATGATGGCGTCGTCCACAAACCGCATGCCTTGCAAGTCCAATTTGAGCCTTCCGAACAGGTAGAAATCACTTGGTGCTAAATCGGAACTGTACGGCTAAAAAGTCACTACAAAATGTACTGTAAAATCTTGTCAAAAGTCATTAAAGAAGCCAACAGAATAATTATAACAACCAAATTCTAAAATCAAACAACAAAATTAAAACCACCTGGGATACTGTGAAAGTTGAATCGGGAAAGAAAATTATTAATGAAGATGTACAAAGTTTGAATATTGAAGGAAAGTCTACTAAATATCCACAAGCTATTGTGAGTGCATTTAATGAATATTTAATGACTGGTGGTCATGACAAATGCAATGAGTAAACCAAAACATGAAAATATGACACTAAGCAATGCTCCACACTTATATTCAAGAGGAGACTGGTTCAAATCTGAGCTAGGATGTTTCACAGGCTTTCTCTCAATCTGTCCAGGCAAATGTTGGGGTAGTACATATATCAGACCATGATAACTTGCTTCTAAATTCTAATTCACCATTCCACCATTCAATGTTACACAGTCAGAGTACTGAAACAAAAAGAGATAATGGCACACAAGTTTTAAGTGGAAAAATCTGAAGTACCAAATTCTGCAACCAAAAAATTCTTACACAAGCATTATATACTGGTAAAGGCAAGACGGATGAGGACAGTTCAGTGCAGTGATAGGCTTTCAGCTGGACAGATGTGGTGCAATTCCTGGCAGGGGCAAGATATTTTCTCTTCTCCAGGAGTAAAGTGGCCAGGGCATGAAGCTGACCACTCATCTCCATCTATGGCCAAGGTCAAAAACTGTGGAGCTATACATCCACTCTCCCATATGTCTTCATGGCATGCTGCTTCATTAAGCCCAGTGGCAACTCTGCCTCATCTTTGAACACAAGAAGAACATTATTAGGCTGACACTTCTATGATGACTAGTTCAGTGATCTGAAAGAACCGACTCTGGAATCTGGTAGAAGCACAACTGAGTTGGGGATCCAGTTCCTGTCAAGCATCTACACTGGGAGCATCACTTTCATTATGCTTCCTTGAATTTGCTTTAATATCTTGCTCAGTTACAGCTGAAAAATGCACTCAGAATACAACATGCAAATGTAACCCCTTGACATGGTTTACATGTACTGTATTCTTTGGCAACATTACTCAGCAAGAACTTAAGCATTCGTGTAATAAATAATAATACCACCATAACTAAGGAGAATAATCATCCCGTTCATATTGCGATAATGAAGCCAAATCAACCCATGGTTTACATGAAATTTCTTGCTTTGACTAACCTCCTGAACCTGCTGGCAAAGTTTGTCAGTTCCACTGCGGAACACTCTGTACATGTTAGTTGTTTGTTATCTTTGGCTTCTCTTTTTAAAAACAAATACATTCAAAAAGTTAGTTACTATAGGATTCTGACGATGGTGTATAACACACTGATATGTTGGGATTTTGGACTTTATCCATCATCCTGGTTTTTAAGATAACAAATAAAAAAATATTTGTTATCTTAAAAACCAGGACGATGGATAAAGTCCAAAATCCCAACATATCAGTGGATTCAAAAAGTTGTTTTAAAAACTTTTTGTTAGTTAGGTTTATACCCTGCATACCATTGTTGAGAGAAATAAAAATAAAAACAAAATGGTCACAGCCATAACCACCTTCCCCCCCTCCCAGTTTCTTCTAGAGACTTGACGTCTGGAGCAGCATTGAGTGATGCAGTGCGGTGGGTGTTGGCGCTGCATGAAACAGAAACTGCTCACAGCCCTAACCACCTTCCCCCTCCCAGTTTCTTCTAAAGACTTGAGGACGCCTGGACCACCATTGAGTGATGCAGTGCGGTGGGTGTTGGCGCTGCATGAAACAGAAACTGCTCACAGCCATAACCACCTTCCCCACTCCCAGTTTCTTCTAGAGACTTGACGTCTGGACCACCACTGAGTGATGCAGTGCGGTGGGTGTTGGCGCTGCATGAAACAGAAACTGCTCACAGCCATAACCACCTTCCCCACTCCCAGTTTCTTCTAGAGACTTGAGGACGCCTGGACCACCACTGAGTGATGCAGTGCGGTGGGTGTTGGAGCTTCATGAAACAGAAACTGCAATACAATGAAATGCAGGTTATCTTATGTGCATTATCTCCCAGTATAAAGTAGCCCACAAGATAATAGCATGAAGTGAGATTTGAGGCTCTTACAGCAGTGAATATAAAGACCACGATCCTGTGGGAAGTCACCAAACTTTGGTGGAGAGGTATGGATATTCTTGGGAACCTGCTGCCTCCTTTTCAGGCAAACTACCCAGAATATCACACCCTTGAAGACAGTAACCTACATATTCAGTGGATGTTCAGAAACTGGCTCAACAAGTTGAAGTGTGCCTTCAGTGTGATGGCTGTAACAATGAATATGCCTGTAAGCACTTAAAGTTCACATTTTAGGGCAACTTTATGTTACTTCGTATTTCAGACTACTTTATGCTCGCTCATTATGCCACATATTAGAACAGCTATTTTCAATCTTTTTAGTGTGTACCAACATCCATTTCATAAAAAAACAAGTCCCACCACAGCAAAAACAAATCTAATTTCCAATCTACATTTTAGTATGGATACTCTGAAATTACAGTTTAACTGAACATGCGGATTATTAACTTGAAAAGTTCTAATACACCACTTTCACTACATTCTCTGTTAAGCGGTGAAACTCTCGTCCACACGGTACATACACCTTATGCATAGACGCATGCATTGTCCACATCATCACTACTAAAACCAGTAATAAAATCCACATCTAAAATTTATGTAGACACATTCAAGTGACTTATGTGGCCATGCCATAGCTCAAGTGGTTAGTCACTGGTTTCCCACCATGGTGGCCCAGCTGGGGCAGACTACAATAGGCCAATCAGTGGCCACCGCGCAGAGTGGACCCAGTTGGACACCAATCACAACTAAGCAAATTTAATTTTTTCAAGTGACTTAACAGCTGCTTTGGAGTGGGAAAACAAGTCAAGGCCTAATATGATGCTCAAGCCTGCGCTGACAGATATTCTGTGTATATCCTGCATGAATTCACAAAGTTTGCACAGTGCCTATGAAGTATAAGTGCCCTTACCCAGACGATGTGTGAGTGAGGGTAACTGCAAAATTATGGAGCAGCAATTGTGGCACCTACTCAGACAGACCAACACCTCCTCTCATTGAGGGGGAGAGTGTATTTCCAAACACATGAATGGTCTTGCCAAGAACAAAACTTCAACCATATGCCCTGATGGCACCTGAAACCAAGAACAACTTTGCTGGTGAAAACCAGCAGCAAATTAGTAGATTATACTGGACTAATGACTTATATGGACTGGACATCCAAGGATTCAAATTTTGAGTCCAAGTAGGGTTATGATTTTTCTTGTCTCTACATCATAGAGACCAGTCCTGGGGCCCACCCAGCCTCCTATCCAACTGCTACCTGGGTCTCTTCCAATGGGGGTAAAGGGAACCAGGGATGTGAACCTGACCACTCATCTCTGTCTAGCACCGAAGTGAAGAATGGTGGGGCTATGCTTCCACTGCTCCGTGTTTTCATGGCAAGGTGCTTAATTACTTAAGCACATGGACAACTTTTCTTTTCCCTTATCTTACTTGAAGGCTGAATGCCATTCAACCCCAGTGTTGCGGAGGAAGAGCCATGCTTCTCTGGCCCATCTTGGCTATGTTAGCACATGACATGCAAACAGTTGGAGCACACTGACAGTGAAATGGACACAATCTCCACATCCTTCTTTTCCACACGGTTTATACGAGTAATATCTGTGCCAAAAGCAGATGTGAGCTGATTAAATGCTGTGCCCCAGCAAGTCTGACCTTTATCGACTGTACTGTGATCACATTATCTCAATATTCCATTAATTACCAACATACAGGTACACACATGGCACAACCAGACTTCATTATCATCCAATTCAACAATGAACATTACAGGCATGAAACAATTTGATGATGTGATGAGTATATTCATGCAACGGTTGCTCTCTATACTCACATCCGAACGCTCCAGTTGATTATCGGTGGCAATACCAGCTGTACCAAATGACTCTTTCTGGGTTATTCTTTAGTTGCTGCAGGAAAAAATGTAACAACTGCTTTGTTTCAAATCGTTCCAAGTTCACCACTTATCAAGCATTATTCCAACCGATGCTATGTAGCCTAAAATACTAAGAGCATCATAAAATAAACCCAAAATAATGCACACTTGCCAGAACACTCATACACTTGTAGGATACCTGTAGGTTCTAAAGGTTTCTGGAATTGCTGGATTTTTGGACTTTGTCCTTTGTCCTGCTAGAACGAGCTCTTTCTAATGGACCCAGCAGAGTAGTTGTGCCCTCCCCTCCCTCAAGAGAGGACCGAAACTGACCCAGTTGTTGAAATAATGCATTCTCTTGTTTTTTGAACACCAGACAATGAACACAATCCAAAAACCCAGCAAGTGATTCTGAGTGATATACAATACCAATAAATGATACAAACTCCGTCCCAAGTGCAAACAATATATATTATATGTCTTTGATCTTGTTCTCTTCTACACTACATGTTTCGGCCTCTATCGGCCATCATCAGGTGTATACTCTTAACGTTGCTGCCACACTGAACCCAGTCTAAAATTTAACATTTAAAACACATTGTTATTCTCTTCGTATTATCAACATCTACCTCGTTGATATGTGTCTGGTATGTAGATTATATTGCGCACGTCAAATTTGATTTTCCTGTAGGAGCACTATAAAATCTTTAGTTATGATTTTAAAATCCTTTAAAATTTTCTCTAAATTTTAAATTTAAAATTTAAAAATTGTTAGGGTTACTCACCCTATGTCGAAAGTGCTGGAGTGGCTAGTTCTTGTTTCCACACTGTACAGGTGTTATCTGTAATATACAAATATTTGTATTATTATTTTATGTACGTAATATTTTCTTATGTGTGCTTATTGTTATTTGTACTTAATCTG